CTGAACATGATGTAGGGCCCTTTGGGGATCTGGTTATGTTTCTCACCCTAGAGCCAATTTTCTATGTGCGTCACTGGTATTCCTTCAAAGGCTACTTTGGGCTAGGTGTGTATGTAGCGCATGCCTCCAATCCCAGGACTCAGGAAGTGAGGCAGGAGGAGCAGGAATTCAAGGGCAGCCTGGGCTGCATGAGGCCCTGTCTCAAACAAACACCAAATAATTGATAAATAAAAGCTATTTTTCAGAGCTATGCTACTTGTTTTTCTTGCCATGTTTTAACAGATCTGTCTTTAGAGTCTTATTTTACAAGGCAGCCCTCCCCCGAAAAGGAACCGCTTCTGCCTGGGCCGCCATTAAAGGCTGGTATGTCTAACTCCTTGAAAAAGCCTTAACAACCTGATGGGTCTGCTTTGATTGTCGTTTCTTTTTCCCCAATACTCTTAGTTTATTTTAGTGACAGCCTTCTTCAAGCACAAACAAAGCTCCTGGGAGTTAGGGGTTGAGGCGTATTTCAGATTTTTAAATTTCTTTCTTTTTTTTTTTTTAAAGATTTTAAAAAATTTTGTGTGTGTTTTGTATTTTGCCTTCATGTACATCGGAGCATCATATTCCTGCAGTACTTGCAGATGCCAGTGGAACCCCTGGAACTGGAGTTACAGATGGTTGTGAGCCACCGGGTGCCTGCTGGGAATTGAACCTCTGGAAGAGCAGCCAGTGCTCTTAACCTCTGAGCCATCTCTTCAGCCCATTTTTTTTTTCTCTTTAAAACTTAATTGTTTTAAATTTTTTGATAGCAATATTGTTTTTTTTGTGGTGGTTGTTTGCTCCTTTGTTTGAGACAAGATCTCATGTAGTCAGGGCTGGTTTTAAACTCATTATTCTGCCAGGACTGACTTCAGACATCTTGATGCTCCTGCCTCAGCCACCCGAGTGCTGGGATTCCAAGTATGTACCATGATGCCTGGCTAATAGTAATCGTTGTCATCAAGTGAAATTTCCGATTTTCGGTAATGGAGTGCTAAGTGTCTCCCGCAGTCCCATTCTGTTCTCCTAAGCCGTCAGGGCTGATGACTGAGTCTTCCCTCCCACTTTACCAGAAGTGTGCAAACACACCCAGTTGTGTGTGTGTGTGTGGGGGTCCCGCTCTTCCTTGTTGACCACCTTGGGCTTGTGGCCCTGCAGCTGGCTTTAAGGAAATGGATTTGATCTAGCTGGCGTAGGGAAGGGTGTGGGTTTGGGAGTTAGTTGAGTGTGGGGCTGTCCTTAAACGTGTCTCTGGAGCATGTCTACCACCCCGTTGGGCCTCCCTGTAAACCAAGGCAGACATCTAAGCATCTACTGTGTAGTTATAGAACAGAGACTTGGAGCTTCAGTTTTGTGGGTCTCCTGCCCCCCTGAACCAAGGAGAGCATAGATGCTTAGAACCCTGGCAGCAGGGGAACCCCAACTTGCTCCTATTTTATTCTTCAGCCTCCTCACAGAAGGTCTGGGTGAATCTCTCATCATGTCACATACAGAAGATTCCAGAGTTACATAATTCAAAGTCACAGTCAATATTTACTAAACACCGTGTGCCAAGCATTCATCTGGGCACTTGAACAACCCTGTTATGACATGCTTTGGATCCTTCTCCACGTACGGGGTAAAACCCAAGCCCATGGGCATTAAGCCTATTTTCTGAGGTCGCTCAGCCGGTCAGCTATAAACCTGTGATGTTTGCTAGTTTGTTTTTATTTGGAGACAGAATCTTATTTTGTAGCCCAGGTTGGCCTCCAACTTAGGATAGCCCAGCCAACATAGGGAATTCGGGTGTGTACCGCCAGCCTTGGTTAGACCTATGATTTGATCTAGGTAGTTGTTCTAGAAGACCACTGTACCCAGTCATTGGAGTGCTGTGGTGGGACTCTGAGGCTTTGTGGTTCATCCTGTCTTCCTTTTTAAAATCCACTCACCACAGACGGGTCTCATGGAATCCAGGCAGCATTCACGAATACTTTTTAGTAAAGGGGTCTCTCAAACTCCTGATCTTCCCGGCTCCGTCTTCCAAATGCTGTGATCAGGTGTATGCAGCCACGCTTGGCAGTTTTGTGGTTCTTAGATCATCTCAATTATATTTGGTGATTGCCTAATTCTAAATTCCGGGAGTCTGAGATTCCCTCAACTCTCTGGTAGTGGATGGGAGATAGCATTTATTCAAATCCCGTGCTGTGCTCGGCCTTCCCCAGACAAGGACCGCAGTGGTACCACCTTCGACAGGCTTTGAACAAGCGGCTGCTGAAGCCTGCTGAGGCCGCGCTCTACACAGATGCTTTCAATGAGGTGATTGACGACTTTGTGACCCGGCTGGACCAAGTGCGGGCAGAAAGTGCATCGGGGGATCAGGTGCCAGACGTTGCTCATCTTCTCTACAACTTTGCCTTGGAAGGTACCCTTGCTGGGAGTGGCTGGGGGTAGGAATGGGCCTTAATGGGGATCCTGGGTTCTCAGTCCTCGGGCTCTGCCTGCTGTGACAGCCTCTCTGCTTCTCAGCCATCTGCTACATCCTGTTTGAGAAGAGGATTGGCTGCCTGGAGCCCTCCATCCCTGAGGACACTGCCACCTTCATTAGATCTGTTGGGCTCATGTTCCAGAACTCACTCTACGTCACTTTCCTTCCCAAGTGGACTCGTCCTCTGCTGCCCTTTTGGAAGCGGTACCTGAATGGCTGGGATAACATTTTTTCCTTTGGTGAGGTGTCCCAGTCTGGAGTCAGGGGAGGATGCTGGCCTTTCCCATGACTTCCTTCACACTACCTGCTTTTAGGGTGGTTTAAACTCACCCTCCTCTGTTCCCCAATGGCCCCTGCAGGGGAGAAGCTGATTGATAAGAAAGTTAAGGAGATAGAAGCCCAGCTACAGGCAGCTGGGCCAGACGGCGTCCAGGTATCCGGCTACCTGCACTTCCTGCTGACCAATGAATTGCTCAGTCCTGAGGAGGCCGTGGGTACCTTTCCTGAGCTGCTCTTGGCTGGCGTGGACACGGTACATTTGAAAGGCTGACGGAGACCTGGGACTCCCTGATTTTATCCTGTACTGTTCCCACCCCACCTTCCGACACAACTTCACCTCTCATCCTAGCTTCTTCTGTATCACTGTGGTTGTTTGCTCAGTTGAGGGCAATTCCCTGCGAGGGGAATTCCATCAGTGTCTGGGCCCCCGGATCTCTTTCTGTGTCTCTCTCTGTGTGTCTCTGTCTGTCTGTCTCTGTCTGTCTGTCCACCTGCCTCTTTCTTCTCCCCTCTGACAGCTGGGAGATTCCATCCTACAGGATTCCAATTCTCTTGCTGCAATTTAGGGAGAGAATTGGAAACTTGTCCACAAGCGCCCTCTGTACTCAGAAGACTTCATTTCTAGCATTTTTTGTGGCATACTCTCTCCTTGTTATATATAGTTCCCTCTGTGGTTGAAATGCAACCTTCCACCACATTGGTCCTTATTCAACCTGTGGGTTCATGTTTAGCATAGAGATGTCCAGGAAACCTCATCTCTTTTTCTTGTCATCCTGGCAGTAAGCCAGCTTTCCTGTATCCACTCACAGACCCTCCCGCCACTTAGCTAGCCTCTTGCCTAGAAATTACCCCCTTACTTCATCTTCGTCCCCCATTCTATCTCCTAGACATCCAACACATTGACATGGGCCCTGTACCACCTTTCCAAGAACCCAGAGATCCAGGAGGCCTTGCACAAGGAAGTGGTGGGTGTGGTGCCCTTTGGGACGGTGCCCCAGCACAAGGACTTAGCCAACATTCCCCTGCTCAAAGCTGTGATTAAGGAGACCCTGCGGTAGGACATGATGCCATGTGCGCAGGGTCTACATGGGGGTTATAGTCAGGCAGGGATGGAAAGTGGGGACTGCCCAAGGCTGGAGGCTAGGGACAAGAGTCACGTGGGAAGAGAGCACTGGAAAGCCAGGGATGCATGGGATGCCCTTTCACCCAATCTGCAAGCAGAGCCTAGACTTTCTTTTCCCTGCAGCCTCTACCCTGTGATCCCCACAAACTCCCGGATCATCGTGGAAAAGGAGACGGAAATTGATGGCTTCCTCTTCCCCAAGAACGTGAGTTGGGCTTGAGCACCCAGGTGCCCAGGAGTGCCTGCCGCCCTTGCTCATGCCACTCATCCTCTGTAGACCCAGTTTGTGTTGTGCCACTATGTGGTGTCCCGGGATCCCAGTGTCTTTTCTGAGCCTGAGAGCTTCCAGCCTCACCGATGGCTGAGGAAGAAAGAGACGGAAAACTCCAGGATCCAGCACCCATTCGGCTCTGTGCCCTTTGGCTATGGGGTTCGGTCCTGCCTGGGCCGAAGGATCGCAGAACTGGAGATGCAACTCCTGTTGTCAAGGGTGAGCAGGGATGTGGGGAGGCTGGTGTGGGTCAGGCAAGATGGTGGAATGCAGGGAGAGGAGGGGCAGGGAGGTCGAGGGGAGAAGCCCGCAGAAGGAACAGGAATAGGAGATCAAGATTCCAGTGGTCCCGCCCTCTCTTCCCGCCAGCTGATCCAACAGTATGAGGTGGTCCTAGCTCCCGAGATAGGGGAAGTGAAGTCTGTGGCCCGCATTGTCTTGGTTCCCAGCAAGAAAGTGAAGCTGCACTTTCTGAAGAGACAATCCTGAGCTGGGCTCCTGCCTTCATGGGGCTTGTCCAGAAGCCCTAGCACAGCAGTCCATGGCCAGTCTCACATCACATGACAGGATGCCTGATTTGACAGGGAAGCTTTATGCCCTTCCCATAGACCCCAAATGTCTGGCACAATCTCTATTGAACAGCACCCACTCAAGACAGTAGAGCACCTCCTATCACATGGCAATCCTTGGGTACAACTGAAAATAAAATTTTGAATTCAAATTTGGGGGGATTCGTTGTTGTTTTTTTTTTCCCTCACTCAGCATGTGACCGACCCTCTTTTGTGGGGAAATGCCTTTTTGCACCTTAGAATCATGGTGGGTGGCCCTGCTGGACCTACTTCTCAGAGCCTGAGAGTACCACATGCTTCTGTAGACCTCAATAGCAGACCCGTTATGGTCACCCAAAAAAAGGCACCCTGACAGTCCTGCTTCAGCTGTAGATAGTAAAAGCTACCCACTGGGCACCACGATGAACGCCTATAGCCCCAACTACTCTGGAGGCTGAAGCAGGAGAGTTGGTTGAGCCCAGGAGCTTAACACTCACCTGAGCAACAGAGTGGGGTGTCTATGTGATATGACTGGGGATTGGAGTTTGGAGCTCAGTGTTCATAGCCTATACTTCATGTACATATGATCAACCGCATGGCCATATGGTCAACAGTATGAAGATTCCCCTCCTCCCAAAAAAATTAAAAATGGGACTACCCAGCTGGGCATGGTGGCACATGACTTTAATCCCACCACTTGGGAGGCAGAGGCAGGTGGGTCTCTATGAGTCTGATGCCATTTTGGCCTACATGGTGAGTTCTAGGCTAGCCAGGGATATGAAGTGAAACGCTTTCTCAAAACAAATTAAAAGAGGAGGAGGAGGAGGAGGAAGAGGAGGAGGAGGAGGAGGAGGAGCTGGAGGAGGAAGAGAGAAAAGTAGGCGAGCTGGGGAGATGATTCAGTGGTTCAGTGGGCGAAGTACTTGGTGCACGTGTGTGAATCCCTGAGATTGAGCTCCCAGAATTCATGTAAAGCTGAACAAGGCAGGAATATTGGAGTGTGCCATCCCTGTACTGCAGTCCCAGGAGATCCCCAGAAGCACGACAAGGGAACCCTGTCTCAAATAAGGTAGAAGCGGAGGACCCACGCTGGAGGTTGTCCACTGATCTGCACTGTGGGACACTCACCTCCAGGCACACACACACATACACAATCACACTCCACTGTGGCACACTCACGCCTGCATGCACACACAATGCCATAAAGTAAAATGAAAAGGAATTTTAAAAGATCGTGGAAATAGGAATCTACTCTGTTCTGTGTTGGACCACTGGATCTGAGGACCCACGCCATCACGGGGGAGGATAACGGCAGACGAAGAGCCCAGAATCGACTGAGATTCATTTCTTTGTACTTGGTGAATTGAGTTCATCCAGCATTGCAGGATCAGCTATGTTTCCTGCAGACTCCCGTTTGCAGACTGGGTTCCACCTGCTAGGTGAGTAATGAATAAACATTTTCCTTATCATTTTGTTACAAATCAAAGATTAAAAAATATTGGCAGAATAACATTCTACGCACAAAAAGAAAGGCTACTTGTAGTTTTTGCCAAGTTCAGACAGACTTTCCTTCAAGTCTTTGAATTCAGGAGACACAAGGAGCTTGCTGCAAGTTCATTTCAATGACTGCAGCCTTTGAGTAAGCCTGTAGCATCCAAGGTCAGGGCTTGCTCTTTTGTTTCTTTTTTCTTGATGGCTCATTCTCAAAGATCTCAATCTATCTGGGGGTAGAACATGACTTACTAGTGAGAGCTAAGGAGCCCAATGGACAACAGCATCAGAAGCCCTGCTGGACCTGCTTCTTGGAGCCTGAGAGTAAGTACCACATACTTCTGTAGACCTCAATGGCAGACCCGTTATGGACACCCAAAAAGGGCACCGTGACAGTCCCGCTTCAGCTGTAGATAGTAAAAGCTACCTGCTAGGCACCATGATGAATGCCTATAGCCCCAACAGACAGCTCTAGAATCAAGGGCTGCTCAGTGTTGGCCGCCAGCAGCTTGTATGATGGTGTGGCACAATGGGAGCTTCCACAGGGAAAGAGCAGCCGGGGCTCGTAGGAGCTGGGAACGTGCACCCAGAACCAAGCATTCCAGGCGCCCAGCTAAGTCCGTCGGCTGCATGCTCCCAGCCACATCGCGCTCAGCCCTGACCCAGGTGGGAGGGAAAGGCTTAAAAAGGGACAGGGCACACAGAGTGTCCTAGGCTGATCGCAGTGCCTCTGGTTCAGGACTTTCAGGCTTGACTCGACTGCTCTTAATTTCATCATCCTGGTGTACTGGGCATGCCCAAAGGCCTCTGGGAGTGTAGGTATAGCAAGGACAATTAGGGAAGGCTGGAGAGCCTGTGAGAAAAAGAGGAGACGTTGACCAAATCGGGAAGAGGAGGTGCCCTTCCAACAGGAATCTCACCCTCCCTACTGCTAACTGGGTAGGATTTCTGCCCCATCCTTTGGCACTGCCCCCCAACCAAGCATGGTGCCAGGACAGTCCACAATCTGACAAATTCACTGGGATGAGCAGTAGGTGGGCACCCCCTCCTCTGTTAGCCCATACCGATGATAGAAATGCATTCAACAAAAGTTTGTTAGCTTGCTTTATTCTCAAGAAATTCCCAGTGGGAACAGAGTAGAGAGAAGGCAGCGCTACCTTCCCAGAGCTCAGGATTTCCCACCTCCATCCATCCCTTCCAGCAGGACCTCCACAACCTCAGCTGGAATTGGGATGACGTAGCAGTCTGTAAAGCCTTTGTTGACAGTTTCTATGGGGCTTCTCAATTATGACTGGCACCACTGCCATTCTCAGGGTACCCTAACTAGATCTAGGAGCTCAGAAATACTAAGGGACTACCCTACAGCTCATGGCAGAGCCTACCTGTACCAGAGCAGAGCCAGCAAACGGGGGTGGAAGAAGATGAAGGCCAAGTCCCCCTAGATCCTTCCATTGGTTTTCAGATGAGGGAGATGGCTTGGGAGTGAGGACTCAGGCACTCTCAGGCACTGAGGGCATCGATGCCAGCAGGACTGAGTACCAGCGCTTGAAGTATGTCAGAGAGGGAGACCACGCCCAGAAGATGCTGGGTCTCATCCACCAACACCAGCCTGTGCACCTGTGGGTCCACAGTGTTCAGGGAGGGGCAGAGCCTTTGGCTACAGCAGCTAATAAGGGGGAAAGCTTAAGATAGCTCAAGGAGCCACGGACATCTCCTGGGAACAGCTGGCCGTGGCTTTGACCACTCAGCTGGCTGTGGATCTTGGCATGAGGGCCCTATGAACAGGACCAGACACCTACCAATGCAGATGCCAAAAGTTGGTCTTGAAAGGGAAGGCAGGCCAAGTGCCCGGTATACAGGGATGGCGAGAGCTATGCAAAGAAGAACTAGGCCATCTGTGCTGAGGGCATGCCCGGAGGGGTGCCCGGAGGGGTGCGAGGTACCTGTTCGCGTGCGATCCTGTCAATGACTTCGCCGAGGCTCTCGTGGGGCTGGCAGGAGAGAACCCCCTCCAGACACAGTGTCCTCTGCCTCAGAGCTTCTCCTACACTCATGTCTAGGTGGTTGTAGGTTTGCTGGGCAGCCAGGTGCTGAGGCAGGGGGAAGACAGTCATGGATGACCTCATTACCTAGGCTGCAGCCTGGAGATGGCACTCTGACACACTTGTGAAGGGTAACCACAGAGACTTCCCATCGGTCCTCACGCCGCAGCCTCCCTGTGGCACCCCCAGGTCCCACAGACACTTACAATGACATCAAAGCGGGAGTAGAGGCCCACGACCTGACCTGTAGCGGGGAACGGAGAAGAAAGACGGGGAAAAGCCCAGCTCAGAACCAGGGTGCTCTTCAGGGGACATGGGGAAGACTTTTGAAATGAGTTCCCTGATAGTAACCCCCCAAGGCTGCTGGCTTAGTCATGGGGCATCATGCTGCCCCGACCTACAAATAGACTTAGCATCACGGAGACGCCTGACTTCAGGCTCCCGGGAGCTGCAGGGAGAGGATGGCGTCGTCGCCTGTGAAATATGCCAGCCTCATAGTGTACAGACATTAGTCATTTAGTTTCAATTTCTGGTTCACAGGAAACAGGAGCAGGAGAATGAGGCACAGCCACCTCCAGGAGGCAAATGGACAAATCTGGACATGGGATTTTTTTTTAACCCTTTAAAACTACATTTGTTTGTGTATGTATGTGTGCGTGCGTGCGTGCGTGTATGTATGCGTGTGCGTGTGCGTGTGCGTGTGTGTGTGTGTGTGTGTGTGTGTGTGTATGTGTACCCATCAGAGTACTGCAGCACACATGAGTGGAGGTCAGAGGACAATCTTTAGATGTCAGTTCTCTCCTACTGTGCGGGTCCTGGGAATTGAACTCAGGTCATCAGGCTTGCCTGCAAGTGTCTTTCCGTGCTGAGCCGTCTCTGTATCCTTGAAGGTGGGATACAGGAAAACTAATGCAGACTTTTCAAGTGACTTGTGCCGTGAAAAATGAGAGGAAAGGGAACAATCTTAGATTTAAACAGACTTCAGGGACAACTGAAGAAATGAGAAGTAATGGACTTCAGTTGGACTTGGTTTGAACAAGTTGGCTGTTTAAAAAAAAACCATTCTTGGGAGAAATGGGAAAATGAGAATCAGGATTGGAAATTAGGTCGCAATAAGTTATTCATAGTTTTAAAAATAGCTTTTCTCTTTAAAAGAAAATACTTGAAGGGCCATTGAGATGTCTCAGTGGGTAAAGGCGCTTGTCAGTCCTGACAACCTGAATTTGATCCCTGGAACTCACACAGTGGGAGGAGGGAACTGACTCCTGAGAGATGTCCCCAGATCTCCTTGTATGCGCAGTAGCACATAGGCACCCACATGTGCGTGCACACACACCTAAATAAGTGCAGCAGACCCTTTACGTTCTATTTATTATTGCTGTGTGTGCACGTGCCGCAGCATGGATGTGGGGGTCGGAAGAGGACGGTTCTCAGGAGTCGGTTCTCTCCTTCCCTGTGTGTTCTGGGGATTGAACTCCGGTCACCAGGCTTGATTGTTAGTGCTGGCTGAGCCATCTCACTTGCCCAGCTGTTCACAGTTGTGTTGGGAAGTATAAAACAAGGTGACTGTAAGCCAGACTGAAGTGCATGGGGGTGATATGATCTGACGTCTGTAATTTATTTTCTTAATTCAGAAAAATAAATGATGAGCTGGTTATGGCAATATGTTGTTCTCTATCATTTTTATTTCCCTTGAAAGTTTTCATATTTGAGTATAAGTTAAAAGCCCTTCATAATGTCCAACTTCATTCTGGTGAATATAACTTTGTATTACCTCTTTTTAATGCAGTGTATGTAGTGTCTATGTGTGTCTGTTCTCACGTGTGTGAGCATGTGTGTGTATGTGTGCTCACGTGGGTGTGTGTTCTCATGTGTGAGCATGTATGTGTCTATGTGTGTATGTGTGCTCATGAGGGTGTGTGTTCTCACATGTGTGAGCATGTGTGTGTGTGGGGGGGTGGATGTGTTCTCACATGTGTGAGCGTGTGTGTGTGTGTGTGTGTGTGTGTGTGTGTGTGTGTGTGTGTGTTCTCACATGTGTGGGCATGTGTATGTATATATGTGTGCTCGTGTGTGTGTGTGGGGGGGGGTGGATGTGTTCTCACATGTGTGGACATGTGTATGTATATATGTGTGCTCGTGTGTGTGTGTGTGTGGGGGGGGTGGATGTGTTCTCACATGTGTGGACATGTGTATGTATATATGTGTGCTCGTGTGTGTGTGGGGGGGTGGATGTGTTCTCACATGTGTGGGCATGTGTGTGTGTGTGTGTGTGTGTGTGTGTGTGTGTGTATGCTCGTGCATGTGTGGAGGTCAGGGTTGACGCCAGACATCTTCCTCTACTGCCTTCTACTTTGTTCAGGCAAGATCTCTCACTGAACCTGATACCCCAAAATTCAGCCAGTCTAGCTGGCCAGTTCATGTCCAGGGGTCCCCTGCTGCCTCCTCCTGGGCCTTGGGTTTACAGGCAGGCTTCCATACCATCCCCACTTTTATGAGTGCTGAGGGATCCGAACTCTGGTCTTGATGCTTAGACATGAAGCCCTTTACCCAATGAACCATTTCCCAGCCCCAACTTTGAAATATCTGTGGTCACAGTCTAACTAAAGAGAGACTCTTGCTGCCCTTCGACCTTCCTAGAACAGGACATCAAGATCCCATGGTCAAGTTTAGGGTGCACTAATCAAGACACAAAAGGATCTGCTGTTCCCTACTACCGTAGTCATCTTATTGCAGGTAATCTTACCGGTTCTCCTTCAAAGGCAAAAAGGACAAAGAGTCCCCACACATGGGGCGTGGTAGTGCACTCCCAAATCCCAGCATGAGGAGGCAGAGGCAGAGGAACTACCATGAGTTTGAGGCCAGTATGGGTTACAGAGTAAATTTCCGGGCTACAGGGTGAGACCCTGTCTCAAAACAACACCCCTGCCCAGAAAAAATTCCCTTCCACACTTGGGGAAACTGAGGCTCAGAAAACTGGCCCAAAGTTCAAAGCAAGCAGAGACTTCTAAGACTCTGGCTCCACGTCCTGCCCACATGGTCCTTTCGGGCCCGTCCTTGCCCACCCTAGCTAGAGCCTTTTGCCCTGGGTGTTGTACCAGATTCATTGACCACAGGCAGCGCAGATACACGCCGGTCCACAAAGATGTCCAGCGCGGTCAGGATAGGAGCTGTTTCCAGAACGACAGCCAAATCTCGGAATGTGCCGATGCCCAAATCTTGGATAGTGCGGCAGAGGAAGGAGGGCCGTGGTAACAGGGCACCCTGTTGGGATGGGATGCGGTGGTGATCTCATCAGATCAAGGTGCTCCCAGGGGCTCTAGCTACCCCCGCTCCCTTTGCCTGGGCTAGGACACTTGACCTTCAGTGTCTCCCGTGGCTCCCCGCTTGCTCCCACCATCCCAGGCTCACAAATATGTGCAGGAATTTGAGTAGCCGCTTGTGTGTGAGGATGTAGAGCACAGTGCCGGAGACCGGGTCCAGGACCGGCAGGCGGTGGATTCGGTTCTTGATGAGGGCATAGACAGCTTCAAACAGACTTTAACGAATGAAAGCAGAGAGAGTAGGAGCAATGTGGGAGAGACCCTCCATCTGAGGCCCCGGACAGAGCACCGGGGTCCTCTCATCCCTCTGCTTCCCAGAAGAAGTGAACGAATCCAGGACTGAATGGGATAGCAAAAGGGCACAATCCAAGAGGCGGAGGCAAGATGGCGCAAGATGGCCTTGATGCCAAGCCTGATGACCTGAGCTCAATCCCTGCATCCCAGATGGTGGAAAAGAACCAACTCCTGCAAAATGTCCTCTGACCCCCACACGTGCGCCATGATAACACACACACACACACACACACACACACACACACACACACACGCACACGCACACGCACACGCACACGCACGCGCACACGCGCACACGCACTCACACACTTAAGCAAGCAATAAATGTCACAACAAAAATCTTTGAGACAGACAGATGGGGGTGTGCTCAGGCGAACAGAGAAGATGCTTACCTGTCATTGGGAGAGATGGAGACGAGAGGCTTGAAGCAGCCTTGTAGGTAGATCTCTGAAAAAAAAAACCCGAGTCAGGCCACAAGGGTCCCTGGTGGCCGCATCCTGTCTCCTAACACCTTTCCCTCCTGCAGGCACTGGAGGCTTCCCCACGGACTTGTGCTCTCCAGGAAATCCCACCTTCTCTGCCAGGCCTTGGGCCCCAACTCTAACCCCACAGGCTTCTCCAACTTACCCCTCCAGGTCTCAATCTTATGTTCTTCAATCTCGTAGATCTGGACCTAAAGGCATGGGTGGGACTTTAGGGTCAGGCATGAGCCCTGGGGCATTGGGCCTCCTGAAGACGCCCCAGCTCAGCCCAGCCCGAGTGACACCCCAGAACTCACCAGGGGGGATCTGTAGTAACGATGCAACACCAGGATGAAGTCCGTGATGGTGAGCATGCCTGCAGGGTGGACAGGCGACAAGTTGGGGGAAGGTCAGGCCTAGGTGTAAGGCTCATCGAGGACTCCATCTTGCTGGCGTTCTTATACCACGTGAGGTCCCTCCCACCATTCCCCAACACCCTCTCCTCACCCACAAAGCTCTGCTTCTTGCTGTCCCACAGAGGGGCTGCCCTCACGCCGTTGGCCACCATGGCAAAGAAAGCCTTCTTAATCTGAGGGGCAGGAAAGAACAAAGGCGGGGGAAGACTGGCAGCCCCTCAGCCTCCCCTCTTGCTGTCCCCCCTCCCCCGGGTCCTCCCGTGGGATCTTCGCTCTGCTTCCTCTCCACATGTGTCTGCCTCTTTCCCATGACAAGACCACTGTCGTCACGTTTACCACACAGATAAGGCTGCTTGTGCCCAGAGGCACCGAGGGGCCATCATTAGATACAGCAGGTTTCTACATGGAGGTCGTGTGCATATAGACATGGTGTGGTTTTTTGCTCTTCTAAGTGCTAGAGGTATAACTATTCACATAACACATGCAGAGCTACAACAATTTCCTCACTAAATTTGACGCTAACTTATTTTGACCCTTATCCTAAGCAAAACTACCTACATGTGCTGAGCATACTTGGTTTCCATCTTCGCTTTCCTTCCTCCCCATCTCTTTCCTTTCCTTAGCTCTTTTCTCTCTTCTCTCCTGTCCTTCCGTTCTAGGCTTCTGTGGTGGTGGTGTTTGGTTTCCAGGCTGGCCTGGAACTTGGGACCCTCCTGCCTCAGCCCCCTCAGGCCTGGGATTGCAAGTGTGGGCCACTGCACCCGACTCTTGGCACACATCAAGATTGAGCAGAGCTATTAAAATAAAACATATCCCTCTGCGAAGCACCGGAACCAGACTGTGTTCTGCGGACGACACATATCCCACGCCTCGAGCACGTAGGCATCTTTTGCCCTGCCGTAACGGTGATAATGATGGAGTCAGTTTCGCCTAATGGCAGAGCGGCTACCAAATCATTTGCTTTTTTTTTTTTTTTTTTTTTTTCTGTTGCCGGAGTACCCTCCTCTTGGTCCTGAATGACTCTGCGACATCTTACACAGTTAACAGAGTGTCCTTTTTTTGTCCTGGGTTGTCCTAAGACTCCTTTGAAACAGGGAGGAGCAAGCCTCTGGTCCCCATTTTTAGAGATGATGGAGATGAAGTGGCCAACCCCAGGTTTTGGCAGATTCAGAGTGACAGAGCTGTGATGGCAATTAGGGGGTCCTCACAGAGCATTCTTTCTCCCTACTCCCCCTATGATACTAAGGAGTCCTAGGGGGACTTGCAGGGACTTCGGCTTGACAAGACATCCAGGAGGGTATGAGTGGTAGCTACAGAGGCAGGAGGCTGAGCCCTGAGCTCAACCAGGGTCAAACCAGGGTCTTACCTCCAGCGTAGTGTCAAAGATGACCAGTTTGGAGCTGGTGGCCATGGCATCATAACAGGTATGTTCCTGCATGAAGTGCATGTAGACCTGGGCCCCAGGCTTCTGCAACTCATCATCCCAACTCAAGCTGAGAAGTGGGGCCCGTGGGGATGGGCAAGGCCGAGGCCTGTCCTCCCCCAGGCCTTCGAGCTCACCGTCCCAGGCCTCTGGGTCTGGGAACTCGATGGCCAGCTCCAGGTCACCTGTGCTGGAACCCACTGTTGAGGCTGCACAGTCGGGCAAGAGGAGGTCCCACCCGCTGGGGGAGGTCTCCTCTCCAGCCAAGGGAAGGGCTGGAGCCAAGGGTGTGGCCTCGGGGAATGTGGCCTCCTGCCTGGCGGACTCAGCAGCTGGTCTGGCCTGGGCACCTGTTGGGGGAAGAAGGCAGCGAGGAGCATTACTGCATCTTCCAAAGCACGTTCTCGGTGCCTTCAGGGTTTGGCAGCGCTGGGGCGCCCGGATGTGGTGGAGTCTCAGAGTCCTAGCCGACCGCAACTCTCTTCCATCTTTCCAAGGCGGCCGCATCGGGGCTCTGTGCCGGCAGCACAGTTATTGCCTCTCATGTAGAGAGACCGAGGCCACAAGATGAGACTGGCCTGCCTCCGTGTGATCTCTGGTCGGGCACCACTCTGGAATTCCTGCTGCCCCCTGTCACCATAACTGACCGTACCCTCACCTTCTTCCAAACCGGGTGGCTCCACTTCCTCCACAGCCCCCTGCCTTGTCCATCTGGAAGCCTTGACGCCCCGTGTTGCATGGGTTCTTTCTGGGCTGGTTGTCACAGCTGGTGATGGCCACGAGTTTTCTCCTTGTTCTAGGAAGTCCATCTCTGGAAGGAGGGAAGGACCTGTTCGGTTAGAAGGGCGTGCTACAACAAAACCCATCACCACGTCATCAGTGACCACACTGGAAGTTTTCAAAGCACCGCCCCTCTCCCCCCCAATAGTTTTCATTTTCTATTCGTAGAAATCTTCCGAGGCAGGTACTGTAAATAGGAATAGCATTCCTATTTAGCAGCAAGGGACCGGAAACTCAGAGAGGTTAAGCAATTTGTCCCAAATCACACAGCTGGGAAGTGGTAAGGTTAGCACTGGGGTTCAGATCTTCATCAAAGAGGAAAGGGAAGGTGGGGGACACACGCTGGGGAAAGGATGAGGGAGAAGGCCAAGCTAGGGAGGGGTTAGGGATTGGGGTTCAGAAAGGTGGGAGCCAAGGGAGCTATAGAGAAAAGGCTAGCCCCACAGGGAGCCGCGCGCACCTTGACTCTCTGGGCACCCACTGTGACTCCAGGTCAGGGTCTACGCAAGAGAATATCTGAATTGTTGTGAAAACGATTCCTGTTCTGAAGTCCCTGGGTTGTCTCCTTTAAAAAACACACCTACCCACACACCATGTGTATACACACATGCACAACATACACACTTGCACACTCCTGGCACACCCAGAATCCCACACAGGCACATACACGCAAAATACATACATACATGGAACCGGCCTGCTCACACCCACAGAGTACAGTGCACAGCAAGCTCATGGGCCACACACACACACACACACACACACACACACACACACACACACACACACACAAGGCCACATGCTTGCTGCCTCCCTACATCCCAGCGCCGGCCCCCTGGGACCCCGGTACCCCAGGCAGTGTGTGTTCCAGCTCAGACTCCATGCGGCCAGCCTTAAGTCCGCTAGCGAGTGCGCGACAGGCGGCGGCGGGGTGGCAACTATTCTGGGCTGGCCCCTGGCAGCCGGCCCTCAGGGATCGGGTTCTCTCTGATTGTCAGGTCTTGGGAGGGAGCGCTCAGCCCGCAGCTGTTCCCTCGCCGCGGCTTGGGGGCGCTGCGGAGGCGGAACTCTCATCTTAGAGCTGAGAGTTCAAAGGAGAAAAGTTGGCCATCTTCACTTTCTCCTCCACGCAAACCTCCCTAGCCAAGGATGGAATGAGTTAGGAAGGATACACTCGAGACTGTGAGGGGGTTGTGGGTGGTCCTCATAGAGCAGCCAGGGTATGTCTCGACATCCCCTTTTGAGTGCCGCCAACCGGTTTCCCTTCTTAGGTGAAAGACGAAAGTGATGGGGAGGGCGGGTCAAGCAGGTGGGCACTCTGCTGATCATCTCAAAGGGTGCAAGATGGGATTGAGAGCATGGGCTCATATTTGTGTGCAGAGGGAGCAACCCCTGAGTCGACGTGTGGTTGAGAGATGAGGGGTGTGCAGGAGCCCAGCCCCTAACCCACCATGAGTGCTGGCTGTGCATCTTCCTGTGCCAGAGGGGAACCCAGCCTGTCTCCCGTGGTGGCGGCTCACCCCCTTCCTTGGCATTCCTAGGGCCTGAGTCAGAGTTCCAAATGGGGACCGCTGACCCAGCTGCCTTGGCTCCCCTCTCCCTGGCCCTCCCCTCCCCTTCTCATTCCAGTCTCTTCCATCCGGACCCCCTGGCCCTAGAGTGAACACTCAGGAATGGACTATTGGATTTCCTGCTGGATTTGTTGAACGTATTTCCTTTCCTCCATCAAAGCACCTGCAACTGCCCCTGAGGAGGGTGGAGAACTGTGCAGGGCAGAAGCTTTGACTTTTCATGAGTGTTCCTGGAGCCTGGAGCCTGGAGCCTGGAGCCTGGAGCCTGTGCTCTGCTCTGTAACTAGGCATGACAGATGACAGTCACACCCTGTCACAGTTTGTGGAAATGTGACAATGGCCCACAGCCTGCCAGTGTGCAATGTTTTCCTTGCTAGCTGCTAGTCAGTCTCTAAACTAGCATTTGTTTTAGGTTTTCAAGTAGCATCCCTTCCAAACACAAAGTCAGGATAGATAGTTGGTTGCTGTAAGAAAGACCCAATTTAAGAATATCTCAGATGCTGGGCGGTGGTGGCGCATGCCTTTAATCCCAGCACTCGGGAGGCAGAGGCAGGCGGATCTCTGTGAGTTCGAGGCCAGCCTGGTCTACAGAGTGAGATCCAGGAAAGGCGCAAAGCTACACAGAGAAACCCTGTCTCGAAAAACAAAAAAACAAACAAACAAACAAAAAGAATACCTCAGGAGAGCCAGGAAGGCAGATCTCTGTGAGTTCCAGGATAGCTAGGGCTACAGAGTGAGACCCTGTCTCCAAAACAAACAAAAACAAACAAGAATGCCTCAGGAGCTTGATTGGTGGCTCAATGGGTAGGAACACTTCGCCTTGCAAGCATGAGGACCTTAGTTCAAGTCCCCAGAACCCACATAAAAAGCTGGATGCGGTCACTTTCTGTGGAGGTGTGGAAACAGAAGGGTCACCGGGGCTTCCTGGTCTCCAGACTAGTTTCAGGTTTAGGAGAGACCCTGTCCCAGGAAGGATTAAAGTGGTGACTGATGAAACAGAACACCCAACACCTTCCTCTGGCTTCTGGGAATACAGGCATATACCACACATATCACACACGCACATGCACACGCACACAGAGCTTCAAACAATAATAGTCTATAGGCAGTCTAGAGCTGATGGGGTGGCTGTGAGGTCATCTGAATACAAGATGGCCATTCTGGCTTCTACCTTACCCTTGCACTAGCATCCCAGCCAGAAGAAGAGAAAAGGGAAAAAGAAAAGAATCCACACATCTTCTAAGCCCTGAAGTGGAAGTTACTCCCTCACTTCCACTCACAACTAATTGGCCAAATTTAGCCACAAGGCCATGTTTGGCTTCAAGGGGCAGGGAGTTGAGGATCTCGGTCATTATTACGGGCAGCCCTTCCAGTTAAAATTCATTCAATTCTACCCCTGAAAGAAAAGAAAACTAGACAGTAGGCCCGTTTGGCAGTCTCTATTACAGAATGTTTTCATTCCATCGGAAACGAACTCAGAGAAAACAGGCAATGCTTTCCAAGGTCATTTGGCAAGCAAGCAGCCAGCACAGACCTTAATTGGGTCTGGCCGATCCCCAGAGGGACTTTTCATCACATCCAGCCAGCATATTTTGGCCACCCAGGGGCCAGCAATCAAATGAGCTGAAAGATATCTGCATGTGGAAGGGCAGCTCTGCACCAAGGAGGAAGCAAGGAAGCACATGCCACAGGGCATGTTGCACCAGATCTGTGTGCCCCGTGCAGTCAGGGAAGACTTCCCGGAGGAGGAGGTCCTGTGTGGGACATGGAGACTGGAGCACTGCAGGAGAAGGCAGTGGTGTGATTTGAACCTGCTCTGAATCTGTGAAGGGGGCATGAGGTATGCTGGGGGTGTTGGGGGATGGATTTTCCAGCTCCACTGTATCACACGCCTTTGGGGATGGTCCACAGAGCTGGTTTCTCATGGGACCAGTGTAAACACACACTACTGCTGTTGCTGTCAAAGTCCCACAAGAGAGATGAACTCAGTGAGATGCTATCAGTGGAGGGGTTGGAAGAGGCAACAAGGGTGGGACCTGGACTCCAGCCCTTGCCCAAGTGGTTCCCAAGACAGTGGGATTGGCCGGAGGGCACACATAGAATAGAGGATTTCTGAGCTAGAAATGGAGTTCGGCGATAGAGAGCATTCTCCTCAAACGTGGGAGAACCTGAATTCCATGCCTCACAGCGTGCAAAGAAAGAAAAGGGAAAGAAAATGAATGGGAATGAGAACAGCTATGGGAATGAAGAGAAGAGAAGAAGATGGCCCAGATGTACCGCAGCTGGCAGAATACCCGCCCAGCCTGCATGAAGCCGTGGTTTGATCCCCAGCTCCTCATAAATCAGCACAGTGGTGCACACTGGAACCTCAGCCCTCAGAAGGTGGAGGCAGGGGGTTAGAAGTGTAAGGTCATCCTTAGCTACGTAGGGAGTTCAAGACAGCCTGATGTATATGAGACCCTGTCAAACACACACACACACACACACACACACACACACACACACACACACACACAAACCCAGCTGGGTGGTGGTGGCGCACACCTTCAATCCAAGCACTTGGGAGGCAGAGGCTGGCAGATCTCTGAGTTCAAGGTCAGCCTGGTCTACAGAGCGAGATCCAGGACAATGAGGGCTACACAGAGAAACCCTGTCTAGAAAAAACCAAACCAAACCAAACAAACCAAAACAAAATACAAAAAAACAAAAAACAAAACAAAACAAAAAAACCCAACCAACCAACAAACAAAAAACCCCACAAACAAATGTGCAAAGGAAAGGCAAATTCCTTTTAGAGCCAAACAAGTTTGCTCACATTCTTCCAGGGAGCCATACCAGTTTGAGAGAGAACAGGCAAGAACTCCAAGTCTAGAGAACCCTGGCATGCCAGCAATGCTTCCATGCTACCATTGGCTGTGGTTACTCAAATTGGGAGCCAAACAGCCTTCTAAGACTTTTGAGGATGTCAAATTGGCAAATAAACCTGACCATTAAGGCCTCACTTGACCCTCCTCTCCGGTTATTATCCACCCTACACATCTCCGACAGCTGGAAGACATCTGGGAAAACTGGAATGTCTATGAGGAAGGCATGCCACCCCCACACAGCTGCAGTGGATACAGGGTAAGGACCAGCTTCTCATGGGCAAAGGTGCCTGTTTGGGAAGCCCAGGTCCCGGAGAGTCTGGACTTGGGGGTTGTTAATATCCAGTGGCATCTGCGTGGTGGTCATCCTTTCCTATTCTGGAATGTTTTAATTATATTTATCCTGCTTCTCTTCCACTGTCATTAGTGGGTAGTATGAAGGACAGGTCTCTGCCTGATGGGCTATGGGGCATCACAACAGGACCACCTGGTAATGGGATACCCATGCCTCAGAGAACTAGTGTCTAGCTGGAACTGACTCACTGTTCTTCAGAAGGTGTGAAAGTTTTCTTCCTGTGGGGTAGGCAAACCCATGGATTCTCTTCTCCCTTTCTTCCTCTATCAGTAAGACCCCACAATTATATTTCCCAGCTTCCTTTGCAGATTGTGTGGCCGTGTGACTAAATCTGACCAATGAGATTTCAGCAGCATTATCACATGCAACTTCACAAGGGTGCCCTTGGAAGGGGGAAACATCCCCTAGGCTCCTAATGGGGTTTATATGATAGCACTGGGGCAACCATTAGATCACCATGGTGGAAGACAGGTTGAAAATGACCTCCTCTGCCCTCTTCTAGATCGACTTATCTGTATCTGTTTTGTGTTGCCCTAACAGGATATCCTAGACTGGGTAATTTACAATGAAATTTATTTCTCATGGATCTGGAGGCGGAAGAAATCCAAGTCAAGAACCTTCAGCCATCAGGGACTTCACAGCCGAAGGCAGAAGGGTGAGGAAACATGCTTTAGTGCAAGAGAAAGCTGAACTCACTCAAATGGAAACCCACTCTCAAGATAATGAGCCTACTTTCATGAATGCGGCATTCATCCACTCCCAAGGGAAGACTCTTGACTTCATCACCCCTCAAAGGCCCCATCTCAGTGCTGTTATACAGGGGAGATCTTTCCAACATACGAACTTTGGGGACACAGACAGATCATAGCATATCCTCAACCCCATCCTTATCTGGCTTTCTTGGCTTTGGACAGTTACGTTAGAAACAAATGGCCTTGTTTAAGCCACTGAGAAGTTGAACTTTTGCTGGGACAGCCAAACCTTTCTCTGGCTAGCACTCCCACTGTGGGAGTGGGCTAGGCTTAGCAGTTCCCAAGTGCTCATAGAATGCTTATGCAGTGTTCGATAATCTCCCAGACA